TGTTGTAACAGCGCTATTTAGACATTCAGTGACAGTCTGTGAATGCTGATACTTTAATGTAGATATTTATGGAAGCAAACCATATGAAGAGATTGTACACAGAGAGAAAAGAACATGGGACCCTACCTACGTATGTTGTTAGATTGCAAATCTCATCAGTGTTCATACAAGTGCTTTTACAGTTTTCAAGTTAAGGAAGTCACACAAACATTTGCTGTTCAGGACTGTCTTTTTGATTTCCCCAATTCAATTTTTCAAAATAGCAACAGAATTCATATTTTTTTAAATTTTTATTTAATCAGTTCCCATAGCAACAATGCAAAAGTAAACAAATTAATGAATCACATACGTGAAACTAATTTGAAATATACTTCTAGCTTGTATTGCAGAAGAGAGAGAGAGATTGTAGAATGCAAGACCAAATGAGATCTTGCTCACAGAGGGCCAGATTGTCACAATCAGCAAGGCTCTTAGCGTGTACCCAGGCAGCAGGGCATGCATACACATTTGTAGGTGTGAGTTTAGGGACTGACTGCGCTGCAGGGTTATGTCAGTTTGATGCCAGTTTAAAACTCCCACAGCTTACTCCTTGGGAATCCTGTGATTTTGGAGTTTGGTGAAGGACTTAGGACTCCAAAAATTTTTAAGATGCTCTAGGATGGAGACACCACAAAGCCAGAAGGGATCTCAAACTGACATTGCTCCATAGGGTAGGCAGACTCTGAATCTCATCCCATAACAATCTGCTTTGTCGCTGTGTTTGGTCAGAAGGATGCCATTGCGTTTGGGGGCTTCACAGACCCTCCGGAGGCTTGGAAACCCACAGATGAGGCCCAGCTGCATCCCGAGGGGGGGAGGAGCCTGCGGTCCAACGTGAGTACCAAATTTCCACTCTCCTGCAATAAATACTCCTTGTAATGGTGGTGAAGAAAAGACTGTCCTCCCCTTTGACTAGAGATGTTCTGGCTTGGTGCCACCAGAGCTGCATTTCTGCTGAGACGGGACCTTTTTCTGTCTAGCTTTGGGCATGGAGGGACAAAACTATCTCTTCTGCTTTCCCGTCCCCTGGAATCTTGAAAAACTCAGATTTTTTCTGCTCTCATTAGGAGCAAAAAAACCCTAACCCCCATCAGTGGGTTATGTTTCTGGCTGCAGAACCAGAGGTTAGGAGTTTGATTTCCCCCACTGTGCCTTCTTTGAGTAGAGGCAATCTGTGTGGCCAGAAGAAGTGAGTACCACTCTTAGCTGGACCCAGAAGAAGTGAGTACCACTCTTAGCTGGGAAACCCTGAAAAGGGTTACCCTAAGTCAGAATTGGTTTCACACCACACCATTATTATATACTAAATATGAACTGAATTTAATTTTTTCCTCCATCCACGCTGACACATCAGAGCTCAGAGAGCGAGTTTCTTGGATTTTCCCTCACCTGGCCACTGTGAGATTCTGGAATTTGTACTTCTGTAGTTACCCGATCAAAAAGGAGGGAAGATTAGTTTGGCAGTCTTGGCTTTTAGTCATTACTGCCTTGTTCTCAAAGTGCTTGCAGACTGACTACTTTATAATCTGCTCCAGAATTTAATTTGGGATTAATGTCAGGTCTGTGTTATGTGATCCCTCTAATCAGCCTCAATTAAAAGTCTGGCTGCAGCGTTTTGAAAATAATATTTCCCATTATGTTCCTTGAGAGGGAAATATCAAATTTTTGATAGCACAAAACCAGTGTGGTTAGAGCACTGGTTCTTAACCTTGGGTTACTCAGGAGCTTTGGACTGCAACTCCCAGAAGCCTTCACCACCAACTGCGCTGGCTGGGGTTTCTGGGAGTTGCAGTTCAAAAACATCCGAGTAACAAAGGTTAAAAACCACTGGGTTAGAGCATCAGGAGACCTGGGCTAGAGTCCTTTTGTAAAAGAAGTGTGTGTGTGGAGGGGGAGACAACGTGTGTATCTCCCTACTCAGCAAAACAACATGTGTATCTCCCTATTCAGCAAACTGCCTGTTCTTGCCCTGGTTGCAAGCTGAGGGGCGGGGAGAAAATATTTCGATTATTTCTCTTCCACTCCGTTGTTCAGCTTCAAGATAGTAGACCTGGGTTCAAATCTCTGCTGGACCATGAAAATCACCAGGCGACTTTGGGCCAGTCTGAGTTTGTCCGTTTGATCTACCTCATCGGGTTGTTGAAAGGATAAAGTGAAGAAGTAGAAGAGAGGCATATAAATCACCTTAGGCTCACGGGAGAAAAGTCAGGAAAACTGGGGACGGAGGGGGGGGGGAATAACAATGCAATGTATCTTTCTCTTTTTTGTCTTTCATCAAAGGCTCCCCAGTCTATGTCTTCAAGCCAGGCAGTAATACCCCCTTTGGAGAACACCACCGCTGGACCTCTCATGGTAACAGAACATGAACTCGAATACAGAACCTTTCTTTTTCTGTGTAATTTGCATTCTGTTTAAGTCTAGTTTTGCACTGAGCATCCTTCCTTTAAAAGGTGCTGTTCTTCCTTTCTGGGCCCTTCCAAGCCAGTCTCCCTGTGGTGTGAAAGAAAGAAGCACTTTGTTCATGCTCAGGGGAGTTCCCCTCCCACGCTCTAGGGCCGAGCAGGTGTGGCATCCACGGGAAGGGGACTCTTTGCAAAGCATGCACCTCTACGTACGTTGGTTGGTCCCCCTGGTTGTACAGTCGTTTTTTTCTGGTGGACGTGGTAGAGGAGTTCAGGCAGCTGTTTTACAATTCCTGTGATGCACCTGAATTTTGGGGCAGAGGAGACACCCTGAAGGTATTAATGGTGAATTCTAGGGGAACTGAGGACATATTTGCTAAGGCTAGTGGGTTATGTCAGAAAAATGGAGTTTCCAGCACTGTATGGGTACTAATGCCAGACTTGGAAATTTTTCTTATTAGGAACTAAAATACATATGCCAGCTGTGGTATATTATTTTTATTTATTTATTATTTATTATTTTATTTATTGAGCTTATATGCCACCCGTTTAGAAAACACGTAATAAAAACAGTTAACGTGAAATAATAGATTCCACATTAACACAAAAGCAGAATAGATAAAGAAAGAGAATTGCATAGTGTCTGGAGGGAAGGCCTGTCTATATAACCAGGTCTTGAGTTGGTTTTTGAAAATGCCCAACTTTTCCTATTTCTTAGAAGCTCAGGCATGGTTCAGACTCAGGATCAAATTCCCTTTTTTCACCTAATTTCCTTTTCCATAATGAGACTCTTACTAGCTACTCACACATGAACAGGCTTGCTTGCTAGTTTTTCTCTTTGGTACTTTGATTTTCTAAAGTTCAGTTTCCTTCTATCCCCAATTTAAAGAACTTTGCAAAATATGGTAAATGTTTCTAAAATGAAACGAACCAATCCTCTAATTCAGCCCCTTCTCCCTGTATGTGATGCTTTACCACAGTCTTTGCTTGCTTCCAACTTCGTTAGAAGCTTGGCTGGGGCTTTACTTTTGGAAACCTAAATCTAAAGTGTTGAGCAGGACCTTTTTAAGACACTGAGAAAGCTGAGGCAGAAATCCCCTCCCTGCCTCCTGCTTCCTCATGGCACCTTTTTATCAGATTGCTATGGTTTATTAGCCTGTCAGGCCTGGGGGGAATTGCCCTGGCTAGGAGGATGTTGTGAGCCCAGCATCGCCCAATACATTTTCATGGCCAAATGGGAAAATTTTCAAAACTTTCACAACTTGTCTCTCAGTATTACAATGGCTCTCCATAGCCTGGAATGTCTGTCCATCTTATGGAGGGCGAATTAGGCTCAACTGTTTTAACGAGTCCTTTCCTCTTCCTTTTAAAAAAATAGATATTTATCTATAGAGTTCTTAAAGAATCCTTGGCACCCTTCAGAGGTGTCAGATTACAAATCCACCCCCACCCCCGAGACATGAGTGTGGGTGTCAGGTTGGGAAAGATGTTTTTACCATGCCATTGGGTGGTGTGTATGCATTTTTTGAATAGTTGTAAGCTTGTGTCACTGTTAAAATTGCAACAACAGTTTTATTTGTATTCTCGAAGGCTTTCACGGCCAGGATGTGATGGTTGTTGTGGGGTTTTTCGGGCTCTTTGGCCGTGTTCTGAAGGTTGTTCTTCCTGACGTTTTGCCAGTCTCTGTGGCCGGGATCTTCAGAGGAACAGGAGTAGGAACTTTGTCCATGCTCTGTTGCTGTTTTTTGGATAGTTGAGTATTTATAGCTGTGGGAACAGCTTTTGTCCTGGCCAAAGAGCCCGAAAAACCCACAACAACCAGCAGTATTATTTGTTTGTTTGTTTGTTTGTTTGTTTGTTTGTTTGTTTGTTCGTTCGTTCGTTCGTTCGTTCATTCATTTATAGATAAATAAATAAAACAAATGCGTTATCTCTCCCCCACCCCTGTTTGCTTGAACTGCTTTTTTCCAGCCAAAATCGCACGCCTTCAGAGCCCACAGTTTCTCTTCGCCCACCAAGTGTATGCGCTGCACATCGCTGCTGGTTGGACTGGTCCGTCAGGGCTTGGTTTGTGAGGGTAAGTGACATTTTTCCAAGCTCTCGGAAGGGATGGAGGTTTGGGGAATGTCATGTGTCAGGGGAAAGAACACCAGCTCTGTGTTCAGAGGGCCCAAAACTAGACCTCAGTTTCTGAGTGGGAGCAATGGAGCGAGAACAGCTCTGAAAGGGAGTAGCCGTCTGTGTGAGCTGCACTCAGCTAGGTGCACATTTGTACACAGAAACATGAGGACTAAGATTTGTTTGATTTTTAGAGAAGGCTGGCAGTTGCCTCAAGCCGCAAAACTGAAGTGTCAGGAGAAAGCAGCACATTATTAGTTCTTTAATTTGCTTTCGTTGTATTTCCACAAAGCTGAAGAGAGGGGGCTGTTTAATTTTCTGCCATGGGTGTCCAAATGAACTGCTTGATAGCTAGTCGTTGCAGAGCCAGAGGCCTTCTATGCTTTCCTGACAGTGGCTGGACTTGATGATCTATAGGGTCCCTTCCAGCTATGCAGTTCTAATATTATTATGATGATGGTGATAGATGAGCAGCTTATTAGGCTTTGCGTCTTTCTTGACCAGGGTTAGGCAGGGTGTTGTCTGCTGTTTCACTTCAGGCAGCAAAATGTCTGGCAGCTTATTAGGCTTTGCGTCTTTCTTGACCAGGGTTAGGCAGGGTGTTGTCTGCTGTTTCACTTCAGGCAGCAAAATGTCTGATATGATGATGGTGATAATGATGACGAGCTTGTTAGGCTTTGTGTCTTTCTTGACCAGGGTTAGGCAGGATGTTATCCCCTGTTTCACTTCAGGCAGCAAAATGTCTGAATTTAGGACAGGGAACATGGAACCAGATGGAGATGTGGTTGAACTCCAAATCCCATCAGCCTTCTCTGACTAATAGAGGATCAGGAGGGGAGTAGCCATTAATACCTCCAGCCAGCAATGTTAGCCAGCCGCGCAGCCTGCTCTAAAATGTTGCCAGCAATCCAATGAAACATTTGTTCCAAAGCAATCAACTATAGCAATGACTAATTTAAACAAAATTAGCCTCACACCATGAGTTTGATGTCTCCTGCCAGCTCTCTGCGGTGGTTCAGAGGACTTCTCAGCAGGATGCTCACCTCTCCACTTCCTCTTCTGTTTTTCAGCCTGTAACTTTGTCTGCCATGTTTCCTGTGCGGGAGGAGCCACCATCTGTCCCATGCCTCCTGAACAGCTGCAGAAAACATTGGGGGTCAACCCAACCAATGGGACTGGGACTGCCTTTGAGGGATTCCTATCGGTAAACCATTTCTCCTCCCTGCCTCATTGAGAACAGATCAGGAAACTGTTGCGGAGTTTTGAATTTCTGGTTAAGTTCCTCTAGCTGTGCAGTTGGATTGCAGGGATTTAGTTGAATAGCTTCAAGTTCCCCAAAGTAGTCCATCCCTTTTTCCCATTAAATGACACTTACAGTCTCTGTCACTCACTCTTAGTAGGAGGAAGAATTAAAGGTTTCATTACTTACAATTGAAAAGACTAGACAGCAAACTGGCAAATAACGGCTGCTTTAAGCAAGACTTCAGCAGATTCTAGACAAGGAAAATGCTGCCAGTTTGTGTTAACAATTTATAAAAATCAAAATTTTAAATCTACTCTCGTTTTGAAAGATCGTGCTGGGGATTGCCATGATTTTGTAAATTGTTATTTGTCAAGACAAAAACCAACCTTTTTGTTTGAAGTGATTTTAAGGGATAATTTTTTTTAAAAAGCTTTGCTTTTCAGCCAGTTTGAATGTTGCTTGGATTTGTCGGAATGTTTACTATTTTGTTTTTGTTAACTCTTACTTTCACATTGCTGTGCCATAGGACAAAAGAATAAAATGTTGCTGAACTAAGTAAATAAGTAGGAAAAGGAGAAGGAGGTGGGAGGGCTGGTCCTCCCCATCTTCCTCTCCCATCATGCCTGTAAAGGAATTTATCTTCCTGTGGCTTCATGGGGCTAGACTAGAACCAGTGGTTCGAAAATGCAAGATTTTGATGAAACATGAGGACAGGAGTGAGTAATCTCATGAGATCTCGGAGCCACCCATTCTCCCCAGGTTGTGAACTCTTCCTGCAACCCCTGCCCTAATTTTTGTTCTTTTCTTTTTAATTTTTTTTTTTAGTAATAACTTTGTGTCCCCATTGTCAAATAATTTACAAACTTTTGGAGGGCATGGGCACCTGTAGGAATGCTAATGAGGTCGAAGCTGTTGCTGAGTTTTGAATGTCTTTTAACATTTCCTGTCTTAATGCAATAGAAGCCCAGAGACTCACAGAGAAAAGAGCTTCAGGTTCCTCAGATAGTCCCCATTTTTCTCATGAACTGGTACTTAGTCTCAATAACTCACTCTGAGACATTTGCAGGAAAAAGAATAAGAAATGTTTCATTCCTTACGGTTGTGAATAGATCAATAACAAAACAACAAGCAGATTCTGCTTCCAACAGACTAAAGAGAGGGAAAGAAGGGACACTCAGCAGAGAGAGGGGGGTCTCTCTTTGAATTCAACGGTGGGAGGGGATGATTGGTTAGTGCCGCAAGGGCCATCTCAGCCCAGAAAAGGCCCTCCCAGTTACTTAAACCACAGACAGTGTGCCCAGTTACAAAGACTCGTAACAAAAATATGGGAAATGGCTTCCCCTTCTTCATAAATGGCATAAAGGGACTTTATGAGCTTCAGAAAAGTTTACTTTCCCCCCATTGGGAGGGCAACTTGCATTCTGCAGGCATCCCTATTTCCCACTCCTGCAGGAGGGGAAGGGCCTTAATGGCGAGAGGAGCGGCTCAGCAGAGAGAAACAGGCACCGGCTGCTCTGTGCTGTCTTGTACTGTATGCCTTCCAATCAGTTCTGAGTTCTGGTCATCCTGTTCCAGGGTTTTCTAGGCAGAAAGTACCCAGACGTAGTTTACTGTTCCTTTCTTCTCGGGCTGCTCAGGGACCGGGCAGCCTGGCCAGGGCCACACGAGCTGGCTTGTCTCTGGAATCAGACTCGCAATGCAATGGCTTTGTAGCCAGGTGCCTCCAACCCGCCGAGCTCTCCAGCTCATTTGGCTGGATGTATTTAAGAGGAACGTGGGCCACTGCCTGCTAGAGATCCCATCGCTGCATTGCAGATCCGGCCTCAAAATAAATCCATAGCCCTCCTTCTCTTTCCGCTGTCTTAGTCAAAAGAGATTCCTTGCCCCATGTTGAGCGTGAAAAGATGAAGAAAGGGCCTCTTTTCCATTTAAAGTAGTCTCTGTATTTTGTACAGAATTGTTTCCCCTTGAGAAATAAAGCAGGCACTCGGAGCAAGGACAG